CATGGTCAACATCAACGATGATGTGTTTTTCTACTTGCACTACGTATAAATAACTGGATGGTGTTACTTTTCAGTGGGAATCAATAAGAAAAGAGGATATAGGATAGGATACATGCATTCTAAAACAATGCTCACTGTGTTATGTTACAATGTCTGGTTTTGTCTAATCCTGGGAGCTTAAAGGTGAATCTCTGGGGTGTACAAGAGAAGACCTGGACAGGCCACACCAAAATAGACAGACAGAGTGAGGCTGTAAAGAAATACAGGGGCTGGCAAAGGTCTGGAAAGACAAGCACATAGATATTGCAGCAGAACTGTAGCAGCCTGCATGTGAACCACAGGGGGGTCATCAACCTGAGAGGCAGGTATTGTTTTAAGCATAAACATACCCAGCTTTACCAACTGCATGGCAATGAGTTTGACTCAACATGGTGTACTTATAAATGTTTTCAAATCAAATATATGCTGCAGGGATCAGTCTAGAAAACCTGGAGGAGGCTGACATCATATCAAACACCAGGGACAGAGGGCTGACTGTCCTCTAAGAAAGACAGGACATGTCTGGGACTGTTATGACTTAAAGACATGGGGCTATAAATCAAACCGTGGGCAGCTTTACTTCATTTTTTTGATGTGATTTCTGCTTGTTCTGATGAAAATCCCTCAGCCTCATATTCTGTGACTGCTTACTTGTGCTTCCATTAAAACTAACAGTGATTTTCTTTGGCTCTACTACAGGAGTGGTTTTCCTTCTAGATCTGTCTCCACTCGCTCATGTCCTGCCAACAACTACTGCTACTTCGACTGAATTGAAAAATCTGAACACTCATACAACTGATACAAGTGCACCACTAGCACAACACATGCATGAACTGTAAAAGTGTACTATACCCAAAAATCAAACTCACCTTTATTGCTGTTACATCTTTAAAGGGCAGGTTCATATTCAAAATAATGCAAATGCACATCGGTATCAAAATATCTGTTTCTAGTCTCACAAAGTTCAAATAAGCCAAATAATCAGTATCAGTATTGGTCATGCAAAACCAACATTGGTCGAGCCTCAGTCTGGATGTAACCTCTAATTTAACATAGTATATATTTGCAATAAAGGTACATTTTATCTCTTTATACTGTACCAACTTTGGACAAATTCATATTATGATGTAAAAATGTTCAGATATGTTTGAGTTTAGCATTCTTATTGGTGATGGCTTTTTCTGAGCTCCTTGCAAAGCACCTGCTGTACAAACAGGCAGTCATATGGGGCTAAACACTCTGCTTTCGCTGCTCATTTGTGTGCCTCCTCTGCTGCCGTGGATGAAAAGCCATGAGGTGAGCCTTGTTGTTGACAAGTAAGACCGCTGCTTCAGCCAAAGTCAATATACAGCTCTATCTTTCTCTTTCGTTTTCCATCTACAGTGTGTACGTCCATATTCTAAATTTGGAAGGATTTTCATTTAGTTAAATATATATTAGTTTTCAGCTTTAATATTGAACAATGTCAGCACAACAGTATATTGAGAAACCAATGTCAGTTGACACCTTGTAGAAATGCAACATCTGATCTACAATATGTTGATGTTTGAGAATGCAAATATGACCCTGATCTGTGTTGTTTTCTAAATGTAAAATAAAATATCGTATATAACTCAAACATTTCACTGCCTAAACTACTTCTTTCCATATTCTGCTTAAAGATTACCATTCTGCAGGGTTTTTAGGCAGATTTCACATTGTTATATAATTATGATTTTGCACTTCAATGATAATCCATGTGCAAATTATAACAATAAAGCGATTTTTCTGTGCAAACATGCTTTGGTCTTGTAAAAAAGTGGAAATGTGAGTAAATTTAAAAATCATTGTATAACTGTGTTAGACTGACACAAATGGCATCATAGTCATAATCAGCTTGCATAAGACCACAACAGTAGGCTATAGTATGTTGATGCTAATGAAAATGGAATCTACAACAACTGTGTTTAAAGATTTATGTTTTTCAGGGAATTTTCAAAACAAATAGTCAACAATCTGAGAGTCCACCTGAGAGTAACATCAGCTGCCTTCAAAACACCTCAAAGACCAGAGTCGTGGTCTGAGTTAAAGGTTAATATGAGTAAAGGAAAAACAAAGGTTGGTGGACTTACACATGAGCCCCACAGTCACTGTGAGGAAAGTCAGGCTTCCTGAGGGCGCATGGTGACTCGGCTTCTTGCTAACTTCGTTTACCTGGCAGTTTTCTCGTTTCTGACCGAGGTCCCGTCATCGTAAAGACAGATTCAGAGGCTCAGATATCCTCCACATACTGCTCATACAGAACAGCCAATGTGACAGAGGAGGTTTGCCCTCCGCGCGCGCCTGAGGAAGCTCTGTCATCATTAGAAAATGACCTTACAGAAGGCGAAGGAGCCGACTCCAGCGGTCAGGGGGGCAAACAGAGGACTAAACGAGTTAGCTTGAGTCTGCAGGTATATCAAATCGATCCTGTGGAGGTCCTCCTGGTGACAATAACGAGTTTTAAGCTAGCTTAAGGCTTGCGTGTTGGGTAATTGAAGTTTTAAGCGACAAACTAGTCCCGGTCCTGCACGCTGATTGGCTTACACGCCTTCCCAACCCGTTTTAGTTAACCCTCAACGGTCAGTTAATTTTGATCAATGCGCCACATTTACACTACCGGACCTCACTGTCGCCTAGCAACAACTTTGTTTGCTACTATTGACGAACTATATTGCTCAGCGGAAGGAGGACGAAGAGTTATTTTTAGCCCATGATGTCGAATAAGAGCTTGCTATCCTTGCTGTCTTCTCCTTAATAATTACGGCTACCGTTTAGACGTTCACAACCATGTTTACGCCTCAAACTACGGAGGAAAATCAATGTAAGTATCGCTTTCTCTTTTTATGACTTTCATCGCTACTGTCTGCTGCTATATTAGCTAACAGCTGAGAAATAAGGGCATCATGTGAGCGAGCTCCACTCCCTGCTGTTGTCCATGCTTTCCTGTCAGCATCAGCATCCTTCTCCTCCCCAGGACGGAGCGAGGAGGAGGACGGCGCTCACTTCCCTACCAAGAGTCACCCACGGGTGCTTCGCCATCTACCGGACAACTTCGTAATGATTCGGCTCGTCAGTCTAGGAAACTGATGCGTTTAATGCGGACAGGAAACTTGTAATTAAAAGGCTTTTAGTGGGATAGAGAAGCTAACAGTTGACGTCGCAGCACATTTCTGCTTTATCATGATTTATCCAAACCACTGTCAGGCATGTGTGTACAAAGATGCAACATTGTAGGTAAATAAGAGTGTTTATTCTGCAATTCGAGCGCAGTAAATGTTGAATTTCTGTACTAATCAGTCGCGTTCAAGTTGTTATGAAAGGTAAAATAAACAGCCTTGTTACTTTATACTCATGCCTAAAAAACGGAACCAGTCTTTTATCTAAAACCAGTTTACACAAAAAAAAATAGTCAAAGAAAGCTTTAAATTGGTTATTTACATTTACCATCAAACACTGCATTGATTATAACGCACCAGATATTTTTTAGAATCTATTTTTATGATCTATTCTGTCTAACATTAGTGATACAGTGAATACAGTGCATGCAAAGTCTCGGCAACTTCAGGAATCCACTGCCTCACAGTATTTCTCTCTGTTTAAACATACCTGGAACCGCTCTTTCCTCTGCTATTTGCCTCACAACGCTCCCCCTCAAGTTGAAAAAAATATTCATTCTGTGTGCACAGAGGGACGGCTAGGAGACACCGCTGGCTCCTGTGTGTGTGTGTGTGTCTTCGGGAAAGACGTGTTGCTCTGTGTGAAATCCTCAGCGTTCAGCCTCTCCACATTTCAGCCCATTATTCTCAGGGGAAAGAGAGCTCTGAGCGTCATCATTTTAAAGCCCACACAGCCACTTATGCTTTCCCATGCCAGCAGTCAGAACTCACTCACTCACTCACTCACTCGCTTATCTCTCTCTGAATCTTGATTCCCTCAGATTTCTTCTCCACAACTTGCTTGTTCCGACTGATGTGGTTATTTAACAAAGCAGTCTATGTTTGTCTTGCCTGGTGTTGGATGACTGCACAAGCTAGATGATAAAATCTGTATATGGTCAGTGCTGAAGGGTCTTTTACAGTATGATAGCATGCCTAGTAATCATTTTGCACGCACAGAATGATTGTTGACATTTAATGAACATGATCACTTAAAGAACAAAATGCAAAATTCAAAGGGTGTAGCATCACATTAAAGCTCATAAGACACAGCCTTCCTCTTTACATTCATTAGGCTTTCTGCACTTCCAGCAGCCACCTGAGTTTCCACCTTCAAAATATCATTTTACAAAACATCAAGGTTACTACTTTCATCTTCATATACAATACTACTTCTGTATTCTCTTCCATCCTTTTGGCTCTCACCTGTTACTCCACATCAAGAATGAATTGCTACATAAATCACAATATTTACACCATGCTTTTATGCGCAGTTTTGCAAATCACTTGATTAGGTTCTTCTCATTAAACACTGTAATGCTCATAACTTTCACTGTAGTAAGTAATAGAATAATTTGGAGTATGAATCGAACATGTGATTCGTTTTGGATAAATAAATTGACGATTTATGAATATTAATGTAAAAATTGGACAGTATAATCTGTGATTGGCAGAAAAAAATAATAAAATCAATTATCCTCTGACTCATCTCCATACAAAGAGATCTGTTTTGTAAGTGAGAGACACAAAAACACCCCTAACTCACCTGTTACCCTATAAAGCACTTTAATTTAATGCGCATGGTTATTTTGCAACAGCAGCTGCCAGCGTTGACTAATGCAGCGATGTCTCATTTTGGAGTGAACTCTTCAATTATTCAGTCATTACGCCGCCTCGACTGAACCATATTACAATGTGTCCTGGAGCCTGGCAAGCATCCATTAGGCTATTTCTTCCTAACACCTCTGTCCTGTTGGTATAATGCCGGCTTTGTGGAGTCTGAGCTCAGCACAGCACAGCCACTCTCCCGCCCGGATGCTTGCTCTTCATGCTTCCAAAGTGTCTAAAAACAGATGGAGAGGAGAACAGTCCGACTCAGACAGTGAAGCACTCAGATTCAGGTTGCAGCCTGAAGGCATATATAATATATAGATATAGGAGCTTTACATGGAGCATGAATCACAAAGTGACTCTATGGGTTTGTCTGGATGTGAGCTGTAGACTTTTGAAGTGTTTTTGTCCTCAGCTTGAAATTTATTTCATAACTGTATCAGAGCTTCAAAACAGAATGTAATCTACATCGATATTACTGAAATGTTACAACACCAGTGCTGTAAGAGTTGGGACGCTACATAAAATGTTGATTAAACAGAATTTGATGGTTTGAAAATCATTTAAAGCCTCATTTAGAATAGAATAGAATAGAATATTCCTTTATTGATCCCCCATGGGGGAAATTTTTTTGTCAACAAACCAAATGTTGAAACTGAAAAAATATTGTTATTGTACAAAGTGCTTTAAATAGTTTGGACAGGGACATACTTGACGAGTTCCAGGTGAAACTTTTCCCAACTTAATACATTAATTTGCAATATGATAGTGACATGAGTCAATATAAAAAGGGTCCTTCAGAGTAAAAGTGCTGCACTGAATTAAAAACAAGCACAGCTCTGTAGTGGAAGTCCATACATCCAAAAAACACTGTGAACAAAGTTTGTGGCTTTGGTCTAACAAATCAAAACTTGACATTGTTTTCGGAGTCTTGATAGTCATAGTCCCCACTCAAAGAATCACCCCGTGACCCACCTTATTTTCAGCACGCAGTTCAAAGGCGGAACCCCTGACTAGAGAGGCTCCATTAATACTGAACAAAATAATCTGGTTTTGAAGCCACGTGCTGCCATCCAGACAATGACTTTTCTGGGAAATAGCTTGCCTTATACGGCATACATCAAACAACAGAGTCATGGCTCTGTAGTACAGGAGTCCAGGTGCTGAACTGGAAGACAACTGATACATCATGAAAATAATATACAAAAAATGAGACCCTGGACTGCTGAGCTGCTTAAATCCTACACAAGGCAAAAGTGGGATAGCAGTCATATTTAAAAACTCCAGAAATTGGTCTTTTTGGTTTCTCAACATCTACACAGTGTTGATAAAAGAAGAGCTCCTACAACACAATGAGTCCCTGTACCATCTGTTTTGAAGCTTACAGCTGGCATCAAGTTTAAAATGAGTCTAAATTTGTCACAAAACAGTAACGTTTTTCTTTGGTTTGATTTTATAAACTTTAAAGGGTTTGCAAACCATCAAATACTGCTATAATTGAAACTCTACACAGTTGGAACTCTTATGGAACTGGTTTATTTAGCAGTTATATCACTTTTCTAGCTTCCTCAGCCATAATAATAATAATTGTTAATAATTGGCATGTCAGTTTTTGTCTTTTATAGTATTTCCACCAAACTGCAACCTGAAATATCTCACATAGTACAAGTGTAAATGATTTCAAAGCCCATCTTCAGTTGAGGTTATCTCCACCCTGTGATGTAAGTCCATAAACTGCCTTTTTTTCCTACTCTGTATGCCTTTCCACATTAAAACTGTCTAGTGTAATAGCTTTAATGTTGTACTCTTGTGATTAAATTTGAATTCAGTTTGAAAGGACATTATGGCTGTTGTGCTTTCTGCTGACCACATTAACTGGAGATGGAAGCAAAACATGTAAAAGCTATAGACATTAATGAAATGAAACAGCAGTGGGCTATGCATGAGCAGAATCAAGGATGTCACAGCATCACTTTTCCTCTTACCTCCATGAGTTGGTTTCATGAGAGTAAACTTCGATTGTTTTCAGGTTGGTGAAGCCATCAAAGCCGCCCATGGCCAGCAAGGAGCCATTAAAAACTACAAGAGAAATCTTAAAACACGAGAGATAGCAATAAGTGTTAAAGAGATATATACACCTAAACCACACTTTTTTCCAATAGTGCAAAGAGACAACAACGTCTGCAGCAGCGATTCAGAGGAATCTATGGCACGATGAAGCTCAGGGACTCAGGTGGCTATAGAGACCAGCCTTATCCTTGGAGGAAAGCAAACAGCTGGGGATCTGTATCTGCTTTATCATCAGATCATTTTGTATTTTTGTATTGGTATTTGTCTTCCTGGCTCTGATAAACACACCTTATTCCCCCTCCACTTATAGCCCAAACTCCACCTTTGCTGTTAATTGTTGGTTGTGTCTAAAGTGGGAAAAGGTTCAAGTAATTCAAATTGACACATATATTAATAATCAGTTTTGTAGCTGGTGGTCTTGTTTGCTTTTGCAGCTCATAAAAAGGCATCAGTATTAGTTTCAGTCTAATTCATAAAGGTGGGGGGAAAAAAAACCCTGTTCAGGATCTTTAATTTTTGGTTGAGATGGTGAATATGCTAAAAATGTCACTCTTTAAATCACAGGTGTCAAATCTTGCCCATGAACCCATTACATTTTGCCTGTGAGGTCATATCATATTTGTATAATTATTGACACCACCACCTTGAGGTCTGAAGATTTCCTCCAGCATAATAATGTAAACTTCAACATGATTGTTTACAATATTCTTGATAAGCCATAAAATCTGAAAAAGATAAGAGTAAGTGGGATTTTTTAAAAAGTCAGAATTTGGATTTAATATGTCATTTTTATCTTCAAGATGCCAATTTTGAATTTTAAGTTATATTTTGACTTTTAAACTTATGATTTCATAATTGATCTCATAATTTGACCTTTCAAACTTATGATTTCAATTTTCTCCTCATAATTTTGCTCTGTAAAAGCATTAATTGTCCATTTTTAATATCATGATTTTGAACTAATAGTTTAGATTTTTTTTTTTATTTAAGATTTCCTTCAAAGGTTTTTTTTTTTTCCAAAATGATTTATAATTACTGCAATTTTTTGTTATACATATTTTATCCCTGGTGAAAATAAGGTTGACATTTATGGTTAAACGTTGACCCTCTTGGCCCTCAGGTTTGACCTAAATCCAGGTTATGGCCCCTACTGTGATTTAGTTTGACACCTTTGCTCTAAATCATCTACAGCATGTTGAAAGAAGTAGTTTCCTCATTTTCATTTATAGTGTTTCTAGAGAAATAGACAAGCAATCAAACAGAGGGTGGGATTTAAACAGAGTATTGAGAACTCTTTTAGTAATCTTTAAAGAAAATTCATGTCCTCCCTCTGCTGTATTTTTCCATCCTCCCTCCTCCAATCATCTGGGTATTAAAAAAAAAACCTGGATTAAATCAGCAAGGAGGCTAGATGATGCATTACTCACATTGTCCCTCTTACTCCTCATACGTTTAACAGGGGTCCACCTCATGCTGTGCGGGTGAAACCTCTCTACGGTGCAGAGCTGCAGGTTCAGCTCGTCTCTGCCCCCAGCCACGTAGATGTGTCCCAGGTACACGGCACAGCCCGCATTCTCTCTTGGAGTCAGCATGTGGGCGCATATCGACCAGGTACCATCTACAGGGTTGTACCGCTCCACTGGGGGACATTTAGAGGGTTGTAGGAGTCAAAAGGGCCACATAAACGGTAAACATACATCTGAGCTCAGTGCATGAGTAAGAAGAAGGAGCGTTTTTTAAAGGTTGGTTCCATTGATCAATCACATTTTGCAGGATAGATGTATTTCTGAACATTTTTCCATAAGATTCCATTTTAAATCTATTTCCACGTAAGTGAACTTGATGGGAACAAAAAAAAGTTTGTGGGAATTTTACTGACGTGCACTTCTCACAGACGGAAATAGTCCATGACAAGTGGTAACACAACATAACCCCTGTTTATCTTTGGCAAGGTCAGGGGCTCAGGAATCTGTGTGTGTGTGTGTGTGTGTGTGTGTATGTGTGTGTGTGTCTGTGTGCACTTGAATCTGGCTTCTTACAGGGAGGATGAGGTCAAACTAGTCTGTACGTGTGAGTGAAGTCCTGCCACACGTCAAAAAGCTGTCAAAGAAAGCTGAGATTTTTTTCCTCAAGTGTGGGAACATGTCGGTTCAGCAAACGGGTCAGAGTCCACACTCACAGTGGCATAAACACATGAATAAATAGTCTGTGATATTTGCAAGTATTTTTATTCAGTATTCTTTTTAAAGTTGTGCTTCTTTGTAGAAATGGTGCCAGCTTTAGCAGGTCACATTTACATATTTACATATAAAACCTCAGTCTCTGCCTTCGCCCCTTTACATAATAAAACTACTTGGTTACATTTAAATTTGCAGAGATAATAGGACCAGTGATTTTAAAAATGAATCAGCTGTTTCAGACTGCCTCACCTGAGCTCAGGGCCATGTCTCCGTCATTCCCTCCGATCACATACAGGTGACCCTCCAGGACGGCGGCCACAGCTCTAGTGCGCCTGGTCATCATCGGTGCCTGTTTGCTCCACGAGTTCATTTTTGGATCATACCTGGAACAAAGAAACAGAGGTTAGCTGGAGTGATTCAACAAATGGACTGTCACTCATTTCTGTTTTTCACAGTTTAAATCATTTCATTTCTTTTTTTCCCTTCCTCTGAGTCAGCCACTTCAGATCTGACAAAGTAATGTCAGGTGTCGGGTAGTTAAGATCGTTATTACTTTGAGTCTGGATATATGTAAGACGGCCCACTCCTTGGATTTAACATTTAGATAATCAGTAGAAAAAGAGGAATATTTTTGTTTCTTCAGAGGGGGAATAAGTGAAAGATTTTTTCCTATGGGAAGAACAGAAACCCATTAAAGGAATTTTTTTCTTCAAACTAGGGCTGCAGTTTGTGAAATCTTCCGCTATCCAGTTTTCTATCGGTTATTCTGGCAGTTAATCGAGTAATCTCATAAAAAAGCAATTTTTTTACTGCTGTTTTGATGCAAATTTCCCTGTTTTGGCTTTTAAAAAGAATTATCATATCTTGTCTTATAACTAAACCTAAAAAATTTAAACTTTAAGTTTATTTACTCTCTCTCTTTAGCTCTCTGACGCCATCATACCACTCATCTCCTTGTCTCCCTTATCGGCTCTCTGTGCATTTCAGAACTGATCTTCAGTTTTTACTGATCATTTTATTGCTGACGCTGTATGAGCAGCCCAGCAGTCTGAGATCCTCAGGTGACATCCTGCTGGTGGTTCCACACACAAGGCTCAGATCTGAGGGAGATTGAGCTTTTTCCATCAGAGCCCCCCGACTCTGGAACAACCTCCTGAGGAGATGAAGCATACAGATGCAGAGACATCTTTGAAATCACTTAATTTTTTTTTTTTTAATTTAAAAAATCACTTTCACAGACTTGCTTTTAGATGAAATAATCTTTTCGTTACTTTTCAACTTAAACTTATTGAGTTTATTTTATTCAAAAACTCATATTTAAATGCTTTTGAAAGTCCTTTGATTTATTTATTTGTACTTCATCTCTTAATCTGTTTTGATTCTAAAGTGTTGTCATCTGCCTTTTTTCCTTTTCCTTTTTCCTGTTTTTTTTCTCTTTTCCCTCTTCTGTGAGTTATTATTATTATTATTATTATTATTATTATTATTATTAGATATGCTTATTCAAATTTACTTATAAAAAAATATTTAGCCATATTTAGCTATAAACAGGAATATACAGAAATATCTGTTTGGCACCTTGATGACAGCTGTTAAAGTAGAAGGTGAAGACAGAAGGGTAAATGCTGATAATCTGTATGCACACATATCCTGGCCACCCTCGCCCATGCCAGTGCTAGAGCTGTGCCACCCCAGTCAAAAAGTCCAGACATACCCCTGCAAAGCAGCACAGAGGAAACAGAGGGATGCTGTTGAGTTTGCTCAACAAACACTACAGGTTTACATGTCACTGCTTTTTTTATATAGTCCAGCCTGTTTCCTCCAGGCAGGACTATTGCAAGGCACTCCTCATCGGGATCCCTGGCAAGAGCCCCCCCCAAAGGCTCCAATATGTTCAAAGCAGCGCTGCCAGGGTCCTGATGATGGTACGCAAATTTGAGCATACCACCCCCATCCTTCGCACTCTGCACTGGCTCCCTGTCCACCTCTGCATGGAATTCAAAATCCTCCTCCACACCCCTCACTGTCTTCACAGTGAAGCCCCCACCTACCTCACCAAACTTCTCACCCCACACACCTCAGCCAGAGCCCAGTCAGGCAAATTGCACCGTCTGCACCCGCTCAGGACTCAGCTCAAGACCATGGGCAAAAGGGCCTTTGCAACTACTGCTGCCCGTCTGTGGAATGCGCTTCCTAACCAGCTCAGAGCTCCACAGATGGTGGATGCTTTTAAAAAAGGACTTATCAGCTTCCTTTTTAGAAAAGCTCTTATGGGCTGATTTTATATTATAACTGTTATTGTTTTTATTTGTTGTTTTACTATTGCCTTTTACTGTGTGCACTTTGAGGTCTGTTTTCTCAGATGTACAGCACATTAAAAATAAATTGTATCATAATTATTAAGCCCGCATGTCTAAAAACACTAGTAAATAATTAGATTAACAGCAGCCTCTGTCTCAGTTATATCTGTCTCAAAATACCGGTATTAACAATAACTGCTTTTATACAAACATAAAATATTGTGCTAAAAAGAGTGATGGTGATACGTGCACAAAAGGCTTACATCAGATAGTTGTGCTCTGTGAAAAGTGGATATAATTAAGTTACTTCATTTATTTCAGCTCTGCTGCGGCGAACGGCAAAGGAAACTCTTTAAGCAACAGGATTCAATGGTGGATAAACAGGTGAGCACAGTCCTGTTTATTTACAGTGCGTATTACTAAGATTTATAGCCAGTCCTAACAGTTATTGATCTTTTCCTACCACATTACCTCTCCACAGTGTTCATTGCAGTGATGCCGTCGTGTCCTCCAATGGCATAAAGGTATCCGTCCATCTCCAGCAGACACACACCACTGCGGGGGCTGCTCAAGGGTGCTACATCTGTGCTCCAGCTGTCTGTGTCTGGATCATACCTGCCAGGATGGAGAGAGAGGAGCAGAGGGAGTCAGATTCTGCTATTAACAGCTTTCAGGGAGAGAGGACCAAAACAGGCACAAGCTTTCAAAAACCCTCTGAGTGTTTTGAAGCTTGTGGTTGTGTACTTTTGAGGAAAACAGACTCACACCGAGAGAAAGTATTTGAGTCGTGCGGGCATCAGTGTAAACATCTGCCAGATTGTTTCCTCTCCACTGGAAAGCGATTAAAAACTGTTTTCTCTCTGTTCAGAGCCATTAGATGCCAGCTCACCCCCCACTCGCCCGAAACAATACTTCCATCTAATTGGCAATTTTCCTGCTCAAGTGGGATGCCAGAAATGTCATAAACTTCTCTGTAACTGCCCCTCAGGGACCAGGAAGCAACCAGAAAAAAACAACAAAAAATAAAAAAATAAAAAAATAAAAAAGAGAGTGCTAGCTGGTCCAGGCCATTAAGAGTGGATCATTCCGGAGCAGGTCTTTCCCTCTTGGTATGCTGCCAGCCCAGGGATGGTTGATAATGGGGTCAGCTGGCTAGAGATCAGTTGAGGGATGTCTGTCTGTGGGAATTGGGAGCAGAGCCAGCTCCTCAGAGACGTCTGATTGAGTAGGAGGAGAGGAAGTAGGAGAAAATGTGCTAGCAGAGAGTATGTGTGTATATAGGAGGAAGAAAGTTTATTTTGGACTTTCTCTGCCAATTAAGAAAAGGCAATAGGAGAAGTTAAGTCAGGACTTTGGGTGGTCTGCTTCTCATAAAAACATGGTTCATAGTTACAGTGTACTGAAAGACCCAAGTTTATTTGCAGACCTCTACCTCTAATCTCTGCTAAATGCTGCCCTCTGCTGTTCAATTACCTAAACAGCAACACTAAGCCCAATGTGAACTTGCATTCATTTGAAGCTGCTGACTTTTAAAGGAGCATTACGTGAGACATCTACTGAATCAAACCATAAATTACATGAATGTATCATTAGATAGTGAGAAAACATGCTAAATTAAAACACTAGCTTCTCTAATGACAGTGCAGCAGCCAGCATATCCTCCCCCAAAGTTTTGATTCTGGAGCTGAACAAATTGTTTCGTTTTAGTAGATGGCTTTAAGGTACCTCCACATGCCCCTTGTCTCATGTCTGTTACCAGATATGAGACCAGTTGACTGATCTGATATAGCTGGTAACTGTTACCTTCTGCATTATGAAGAGCTTTGAGTTTTAAAATAACAGAGCAGTTATGTAGATGACAGGAAACATGTAAAAGTTTCTACATTTGAGAATAGGATCATAGAATGTGGAGTCCTGCAAGGCTCCATTTTTGGACCTCAACTTTATAATTTAAACATTAATGAAAAACATGAGGTTATTGCAAAGTTATTACGCTCTATTTCCAGACATACTAGAAAAGATTTAAAAACTGTCAGAAAACAAAAAGAAAAGGAAATATTTAAACTAAAGTATTTATTTCTAAATTTGAACATAAAGTCTATAATTTTCACCAACTAAATAAAGGATGAACATTTTTGACAAACATATACAATCAAAAGCACAGTGTATTTTTTTTAACCAAACAAAGTTTTGTGGAATGAGAGAAGAATAAAGTTTTTACATTGTTTGTTTATTCTGTAACATTTTATTTGTGCAGAAGTAACCCGCACAAGAAAATGAAACTGTTATTCATTGAACAGAGGAGAGCAAATTTACAGAAAGTTTTATGGGGCGCCCACACCAAGCGCAAGGAAAATTATCTTGGCTACTCACTTAATTTGTGCAAATCTAGACACGTGAATGAATAATATTTACTCGCTTCATTCACATTTCAATGGTAATTTTAGCAGCAATCCCTGCTAATTCAAGCAGCGGGATCAAGTGGTAGACAAAGATTTTTACAATTTACCAGGTAATCCAACCTCCTCACTCAATTGCCTCCCGGCGAGCTAATATTTATACCGGTTTCAGTAATTGAAACAAAAGGTATCATATAATTTGCGGAACCCACACATCAACACAATCAGTTTGTCCTCCATTTTAGATACCAGTGAACAACTGTCCCTTTTCATATGTCAACCGGCAACCTTCATGCTGATTAGTTATCGCAACATGAATATCTGCTAATTTCTTTTATCCAAGTGTGAACTGCCTGTTATACAGCTGAGTCGTTTTTTATTGTACCACTCAAATACATGTCATGCCCTTTTTGTTCAGCAGCACAGCTTCTCTCTTAGTAGGAAATCCTGATGCAATTGGACTTTTTAAAATAACATTTAGGCCCTCATCATGGAGAAATGATGTATATGAACATCAAAGCCTTGACATTACACTTACATAATTTCATTTTTCACAGTTCAACCTACAGCCCGGTGAAATCCTCTAAAAGACAGCGACTGTCAGCGCCTGGCAGCACTTACAGTTTGAGAGATGACTGGTATGTCAAACTGTCATCATCCTACTCCAGCATGTTAGCTTTCACCATGTCACACCGCGATCACCAGTATGAGCGTAATGAAACGTCAGTATGAATCATCCCTCACTGTAAGACTGACAGAGGCCACAAAGAGAGGAAAATCAATTACAGCCTCACATGGAGTCTTAAGAAAATTAAATCAAGTGGAGCGTGTGACACAGGAACAAAATCTATTCAAATAATGATGTGAGGCTCTGAAAGTATGAATTCATCTGCCCTCAGGAGCTTCATAAAATGGCTCATAATTGTTTTCAAAGTCTGGCATGTTGAAACCAAACAAACCACCAGTCTCTTACCTCTCCACACTGCTGTAACATCTGACTTTATCTTCTCCTCCCACAGTGTAGATCCTGCCCTCCAGTGTGCCCACAGCAACACCACCACGACTGTTGACCATGCGAGCTGCTGATTTCCACTCGTTGTACTCGGAACAGAACTGCTCGACAGGACAGGACGGGTCCTCTTGGGTCCATCCTCCAACTGCACAAACAAAACACAGCGAAAAAGTTAGAACTTCTGTTAATTCTCTATCAAAACAAATCCTCTATGCAGACGATTACTAGATCTGTGTGTCTAAAACTGACAGAAAAAGAAGCTTAATCAGTTTACAGAAGAATTAAGAAGTTTGTACACACAACCATCAGACTTTATAATTCTTCTGTAAATCTTAGATGACTTGAGACATGACACATGAGACTAAAGAGAATTGAATTTCCCTCCAGGAATCAATAAAGTTCTTCTTCTTCTTCTTCTTCTTCTTCTTCTTCTTCTTCTTCTTCTTCTTCTTCTTCATTTATTCTTCCTTTAGATGATTTTTTATATTTAGCCCATAGACATTCAGCCAATGAATGACAGTAACAGGAAAATAAATATGACACTTGTTCACATCATTCTAATAAATATACAAACCTCAACTCAACTCAACTTTATTTGTAAAGCACCATCAAATTTCTATTTATTGGTTTCAGTTACCTGATTTTATGCTGTCCCCGGACTCTTTTAGTTGACCTACCAGAGGTGGGCTTTTAGTGTCCTTGTAAATTGCAACTATTTGTTCAAGTAAGTGTCATAATCTTAATGATCAAAATCAGCTCAAATGAAAAAATTCATCCCTCATTCAGTGGGAACTGTGATAGTCCGGGGCTAATTGGACCAAAACAGTTTTTTGGACCAGACTTTAAACTACTTTTTTTTTTTCATTAGCATGTATGTAGTTTTTGTGTTTCTACAGACAGCCTCAAGTGGACACTTATGGAACTGCAGTTTTTTGCACTTATGATCTCAAGAGCAGAGATTGTTGCCTGGTAATAACCTAAAAGAGAATCATTAAAGCTCATGTGACTGGCTTCCTGTTGATTCTGGCACCCCCTGTGGACAAAATTGTACAGTTAATTGTCTCTGATCTCTTGACTGATTTTATCAGGCATCAAGAACGACTATATAGAAGTTGTGTAACTTGTCACTGATGGTCTTACCTGTGTTGGTAGGTCACAAAGAGGCTTTAATGTTCATTTCAGAATCAGCTCAAAATCACCCACAGGAGCTTTAAAATGCAGACATAAACGTGTCATATATTGGGGGATAAGGTTATATGAAAATGTTCTTTCTTTGAGCTAAATCTATTTTCACTTTTTGCATTACTATATGTGAAGAAGAAAACAAGCTGCATTTAAGCTAATTCACTATTATGACTGTTTTCCATGGTGATTGTTGGCAGAGAGAGGTGTGATCCAGTCATTTTGAACTTAAAATAATGATTAATTTATCAGACTGGTAGGTGTTTAATGCTTCAGTCTAGTGGGATCCACGTCTGTTGATCATTAAATCAAAGCTAAAGTATTGATCCACTCATGTGCCAGCCTTCCTGCACTTTAGGGCTGGTTCACATAGCCAACCTCTGCAGTAAGGGGAGCAACAATTTTCTTTTAGACTCCATATGAGGGGCGACTCCAGAGTCAGTCTTTAACTTTGACAGGAGACTTACGCCATGGGGGACAGTCTTATGTTAGCTAGCTGAAACCACTTATTTAAATTTAATAGAAGACTTTCTGTAGTACTTTATGCTGTCCGGGAAAGACTGGAGTAATAACAGTAAAAGGCGACCACAGGGTCTCTAGACGGTGTGGTTTCCATTCAGAGACCAAGAGAGCTGGAATGACCTCATTTAGGAGGAGATTTTTCATCAGTAGTCTGCTTATGCAAGAGATGAGGTACCACTGTCCACATCACCAAAGCTGATGCCGACCCAAAACCAGAAGCTTGACCTGTCAGCAAATGCAGAAACTGACCTATAAACATCACATCATTGAAGATCTCTTTAGGAGGGACTCTGCTGAGATGACGGTGGACTGAGGAGGGGGCTGCCATGCGGGGATGGCGGCGGGACCCTCCTTTCTTGTCCTTGATCTGCATGTGGTAGGGCTCTGGCTCCTGCAAGGCTGCCCTAAAACACACAGTGACAGGGTCTTTATACCAATTATGACTTAAAAGCAAAAGGTTAGATTCTCCAATGTTGTCAGGTTCCTCATTGGAGATGTAATCCTGTTAGGAGAGAGCTTGAATTTGGATTTAATTTGCTGGTATCTGTAAAAATGGATGATTCAGTGTCATTTTTATCACCTCACTGTTCCTATTGTAGTGCTAATTATATTGCAGCAGTTACAAATGATGATAACTTCATTCAAATCATGTGAAAATAACCCTTCCATCCAGTCAATGCAGCAGCACACAGGCTCTAAACCATGACAGACACTCTTACCCTTGCTCATTGTAAATTCCCATGTTTTATCTCCTTTTTCTTCGGCCCTCCTGTAGAGATCTGTGTTCCTGCCTCAAAGCAGCACCTTGGTGTCACTCTGATCTCCGGCCTACACCTCGCTCTGTTCCCTGCAGTCTGCCCTCAAACTGCTGCCTGTCACAGTTGAAGGACGTTGGACTTGACCGCTGCGAGGAATAAAAGACCTCCTCCCTTCTGAGCAACACCACCAACCCCCCTGTTGTGATTCATCCCAGCACCATCTCTGCAGCCTGAAACCCAAGACTCCTCGCACATTCACACACATACATACACACCCCAGTTTGAGCTTCCTTTGGACAACTGTGGAGGCAGAGGAATTATTGGCATGGACTTAATTTTAGGCAGAGAAGAGACTCCTTCAGTCTGCTGGAGGTTGCTCTGTCATTGGGGTAAATTAAGACTGGGGACAGGCAGACGTGATACTTTTTCTGCAGCAAAAAAATCACAGTGAGGGATAAAGTTTGCTGCAAAAGACAACAGGAGGAGATTTTGATTATCACCAAAATCAAAGTTACTTAGAGAAGCTCCAAAAAGTGGGATCGTCTTCATTTGAGTTTAGTCATCAACCCTTTAACACATTGTTGTTTTTTGATTGTTTGATGCAGTAGCTTACTTTGAAATACAATTGCTCCATTAGATTGTGTTGTATTTGCCACAGAGAAGGTCAGTGTATCATCAGAGACTGGTCAGATTCAGTCCCTAAAATAAAAGGGTGATTAAAGTGATGATTCATGAATAAATCTGAGTAGAAAAATGTTTTTTTTTTTTTTGTTAGGGTTAGCTTTTCCCATGGTTTCATAATGTCACACAAGCTTCATTCTTCATCTTTCACTTTGCTGTTTTCTGTTTACGATTGTGGCTTTTGCACATTTGCTTGCTGCTCTCATTGGTCAAACTTACTGTGGAACGGACATCCAGAAACACCCGCTGACCTTGGCTTTGGCTGATTTTAGGCTACTTCAATCACACCAACACTCAAAAGTGTTTATTTACTTTGTTTAATTCATTACACTGTTTGTGTAAAGTCCATGATTTTGACTAAGTGAGAGGTAAAAAGTTTCTAAAAAACGGTGCTGCATCTAACTATGAATTTTTTTCTCCTCATTATGTAAAAGTCATTAATTTAAAGCAAATGCTAGTTTGTTGTCTGGTATATCAACACAATAGAGAGTCTATAATTCAAAATACAAGTGATGGTAGGAACTTGAAAGGGGCCCGGCTTTGCTTGAAATTCATTCCCATTCTTTGTGTATTGCAGATGGATGAAACAATCAATGTCCAGGACCAACAGATCGAGCGGTAAATGTGCATGAACTGAGTCACCTGACCTCATTGTTTGTCTGATATCGACTGACTAAACTACGTTTCCCTTTCAGAAATCATTATGAGTCTCGTCCTGGTGACTGTGGGGGGTTTCCTCTCTGTTTCACTGTTGATGTAGATGACTCCGCACCTCTCCACCTTTTCACCAGAGGGGTCCAGGTATTTGACCTCTCTCTGTCATCCCCCCTCCTCCTACGAATCAATCTCTCACCCTTCCATCATCCTGTCATTCCTCTGAAGTTTCCATGACTTCCTCAGATACAGAAAGACTTTATTTATATCTCTGTCCTGTGGAAACACCTCAGATGGTGAAATGATTCATCTCATGTAGGTCAGGAGAGATGGGTCGAATGCAAACGAGCGTGGAGTCACTGCTGTGCTGCTGTCAGTACGCGGCATCCACGGCGCTGACTAATAAAGCTAAACTGGACTCCAGCAATATTTCACCAATGACTAACAAGCGCAGAATCACTTCATGGTTACTCGAGAAAAGACACTGAGTCCAGTTGTTGGAAGTGATCATATAAACTGACTTTACTGTAACTTCTGCGTTGGTTAATGCACTGAACTATACACAGAGCACATGATCAGCTACTCAGATATACAGTACTATACTGTGTTGTTCTACAATCAAACACCCAGCAGCATGCAAGGCAGATAAAATTAGCTCAGTTGTATCACAAATTTATGTCCACACAAATCCTGCATTAGTCATTTTTTCTTCCACAACTGGCAGGGAATAAATTATCACCTGATAGCTGCCAAAAGCAGGATTCATGTGGGCTCTAGCAGGTTAAAATTTCAGGTCACCTGCCACTACAGCTGACGGGTTTATCTTCCTGATTTATTACATATCTGTGCAGTGACGAAGAAGAGTGTTAGTGATTATTATAAGAAAGTGTTCTGTAGAGTTGATCCAAAGCTCCTGTGAGGAGTCTTAAACTGGCCTTTTGAAACTTTTTTTTCATCTGAAGGAATAAAAAGTTTCTCCCTGTAGCTGAATTTACCCGTCGTCATTCCTGTTATGAAATCATCACAGACTTTAAACAGCATGTTTCAGACAGGTTATGTAGACATGCAGTGAGACAGACAGATGGACACACCAGGTGAAGCAGTAGCTGAGGATGAGGCCTTCAGTCCAATAAAAGATGAGTCCCTGGCCCTGACTGATAAAGACAGACCACAGATCCGTCTGATAATCCAGGTATGAGTGGTTTAAACTTCCTGAAATCTCCGCTGAGATGATTACAGTGTCCTCCTCTAAAATGTCTTCAGTGTGACCTCTCAGAGTGGCTGGCAGCTTTCATTTAGCCACTTGGTGACCCTGACGACTCGCTCACAGATGCCTCTCTGGGGCCTCTTCAGCCATTCGGTTGTAAAATCTCACATTTTTGAGAGGTCACGACTTTATCGAGGTCTGAGAGGATAAAAAAAACTGCTGAGCCATCACCTTTTGGACCGTAAACAGGTCCTTCATGTGAAGTGTCTGCTGCTCTTCCTTGACCTGCATCACCATGGAAAATAGAAAGTGAAATGATATCATCAGTCCAGGATACTAGAGGAGCATAAACTTCAAAAGTTGCTTCAGTAGCTCGAAAGGAACCAGGTCGATCCTTTGAGGCCTGGAAAGTTTTGATGATTGTTAATCAAAGTCAGATTTCCTTAAGTTTGAAAAAGCTGCAGCTCTTTTTTAATGAAACTTTCCTAACTCAGAAACCTGCAACAAAAAATCAATGAAGGAAAAAAACAGAGAAACTTGGGAACGAACTGGGCAGCAGGAGAGATCCCAAGCGCAAACTGCAAACAAATAACCACTGAGCTAATGGCAGTGAGTCAGCAGATAGTGTCAGAATAAATTGGCTTTCTGATAAAGTAATGTGCTGAAAAAGTTCTCAGTAGAGTGTACTCTTAAACCAAGATGAGTGCTTGGGTCAGATTCTCTTAAAATTGCACATTGCAGCACTTACAGAGGTCAGGGGAGTTTTTTTTATTTTATTTTTTTATTAAGACTGAGGCTACTTTGAAATTGTGACTCTGCACAAGCATCCTCTTATGCGGTCATTAAAGGTTTATAATTAAGGCAAAACTAAAAAATACACACATTTATAACATCAATATAAAAAAAATAATGTGCTAAATCAAAGTATATGAGTTTAGTGGTGACAGAGAGGGCCACCCCAGTCAATAAAGTCTGTTAGACATTCACTAACTTTGCCTGCACTTAAAATAGAGTATTTTACTGCTATTGATGACATTATTTAAAGCCATAACAGCTGGGTCGAGTAAATGCATGTTGCATTTTAAAAGTCTTTTCCTCACGCTCGTAAATCTGAACAAATGCAATGTGAATGCTTTAGTGGAGAGACTCTACAGTCCTTGAACTTGACTGTGCAAACATGTCCCGCACCACACAAGCAACAGGACTTATCCATTTTTTAAAGCTGCAAATTTAGGGCTCTATTTTCGTTCGCGCCGGTGAGGCGGCGGAGGGCGGCGAGCCCCGCGCAGTTGTATTTTCGTCTGGCGGAGCCCGGCGTAAGGCGAGTTTGGTATTTTCGTGGACTGAGTCGCACGGAGGCGAGCCGAGATCCGCCAAGCTGGGCGTGGCAGGGGGAGGTGTTGACAGAATCAGCTGGCGCAGTGACATTTTCGTGCTAGCCACTGGCGTGTAAAGTGCGCTGAAAGCTCGCCGATTCAAACCTGGTCAGCTTTCAGCGCAAGGCGGAACGCAGCTGGTCCAGTAGTATTTTGGTAGACCGGCGGCGTATCGACATACGTCACTGATGCCTCACCGGCAGGTTTCCACAGTGTCAGGCAGATTTCAGTGCAATAAATAATGATCAACAACTATTAATCTGAGTCAGCACATACATTTAGATCTATATCGATATATTCTGAGCTATATCTGATCTGATGAGCGCGTTTGGCACGCGTTTGGACACACAACCTGACCGAATCAATACAGCTGAAACTGCATCAAATTAAATTAAATATCTAGTAAATAAACACACATGATGAAGTTAACAAGATATGTAATGTGTCTCCCTCCTTTTCTTTCTTCCTCTTCCTCTTATTTCTCGCACAGATCGACCTGGACATGTCTCCGTGTCCTCTGTCCGTCTTCCTGCTGCTGCTGCGGCTGAACAGATGATTTGTTTCAGTGCTCAGATGCGTTATCTACTTTAAGCCGACATACGGATATTATAATATTCAGTTTTGTGAGCCAAATTTATTTTATATGCCAACATCTATGAAAGAAAGAGCCAGACCACGGAGCGCGATGCGTCATTTACGCACAGATGGTTCCGATTTTAATGCCTTTTTGGAGTTTATGTTGTGATCTGTGCGCTCAACCCACCTTTATCACGTGAGGTTTGAATATATGCAACTTTATGTGAGTGTCTTTATTTGTGGAAAAGGGTGTTTGTCTTACCAGTGGGTCCAGCATTACGCACACCAAATCCATCTGTGCTCAGATGAGAGAGTGTGGAGGACACTTGTTGAGCAGCTGCCCTCTGTCGCCATCGTGTGGCATAACCGTCTTCAGACATCTCTTGATCTCTTTGACTACTTCATGAAAATAGTAATATGCCTCGTCTGTGGCGGATTTAAAGGCGAGGAGAGGAGCTAATGTGATTGGTGAAAACAGGTCTCGGCTGTGTTAAACACAGTATACGCCCTCTCTCCTCCCCGTCTATGATTTATGCTGCCGGGAGGAGCTGAGTTAGGGAGGGGGGATACTTACGCCGGGCTGCGCGGCTCACCAAAATACCAAAATGTGCTTGGGAACGCCTTGTCAGCGCGGCGGATCTGATTGACTCTGCGCTTGCGGCACGTCTCCGGCGAGGCACCAAAATAGAGCCCTTAGTGTCCGTTTAGAGCTGCTTCAGGAATTTTGAAGTGCAAATTTGTGGTTAAAAGTCCTACCATTATACATCCTCATCATATGAATTGAGGTCTGACAGAGGTGACCCCTCACAGTCAGACATGGATGACATCATTTCCAGTCCAGTCCAGGGTCATGTGTGGAGGAAGGCCTCCAGCAGCTGACTCTCCTCAGACTGCAGACCTCTCACATGCCTCAGAGCCTCTTTACCACCCGCTGACACACCAGCCCTCCTGCACCTGTCTTTGGAGAGTCCCTGTCAATCACCTGCAGCAACAATAGGTGTGAAAGCTATCCTTAACCCCAACACGTCATCCCCCACCTCCTACTCCTCAAAGGGAGAGGAGGCAGATGCTGGTTGGATGCTTGTGTTGCCGGGTAAAATTTTGGTGATTAGAGACGAAAAGAAGGGGGAAGACAAAAGAGAGACGACCAGGAAAACACTGAAAACTTTGTGACTAAATGCATCAGCAACAACTTTTTGCAGAAGGTGCAAAAAGGTCACTACTTTCTTAAAATCAAAACGTAACTGATCCTTTTTAGTTAAGAAGACTTTGGAAGGAAAAGACTTCAACAGAGATGAGTTCAGTAACATTTTGGGCTTTTATCCTCCATCTGTCATACGTTTACAACCTGTCTAATTTACATGTACCGTTTTATATTTAAATAAGGCAGAAAACAGGAGAGACAAAGAAGAAATAGCAGCAGCTAGTGTGTTGGTTGTAGTAGCCCTCTGATAGACGATTAAACCCTTTTAAAAAACCAACACTCAAAGATTTACTTTAACATCAGAGCTCATGACTCTTCAGGTTTTAAATCAATTAAACATTTAGACTTTCTAACTGTTCTTTCAACTGTTTTCTTTCAGCCAAGTTATGCAGAATCTACCAGAAGTGGTATATTTCAAAATAAAAGCACAATGTGAAAATGCAGGAATTAGAGCAATCTAAATACAAGATGGAAAAATATACAGTTTTAATTTCTGACATTAGTCTGAGTGTGCTCAGTTTGACAGCTCAGTGGTTGGATTAAGTCTTTCCCATTAAAATGAGACATTATTGGACACTGTTTACAGGAAAAACTAAAGAGGCAAATTTTCTCTGTTTACAAAAGTAATTTCAGTTTGAGATGGTGAGTAAAATCTTCGCACATATGCAACTTATCTTTACCTCAGGTGAGCAAACATTTTTAAATTGCAGCAATGCAAAACAAAAACCAGTAAAACTTACTGGTAACTCCTGATAGCAGCAGTTTAATATGAGCTACCAATATCAGATCAAGAAATTCCAAACTGTATCTCTGTAGTTACAGTCAAATTTAACTCTTAACAGTAAAAGAAAGACAGAATAAAGATAAAAAGTGAAAATGAAGTAAAGAAAACTCATTCAAATATGTCTGTGCATATTCTTTAAAAAAGCGATTATTAGACTGGTGAGATTGGCCTTTGTAATGACAGTATCTGTATAGGCTTACATCACTAAAACTCAAACCTCTCCCACTCCACAGTTTGAAAAGTAGGGTAAGTGCTGACTAAGAAAAAAACTGGGACTAAAAATATCCTCCCTGATGTAACTTCACAGACAAAGTGGATGGAGAGGCAGAGAAAACAGCAGATTCAGAGAGTGTCTAGACAGGTGAGTGAGGATGTGTATAATATCACTGTATCATGGTGTATATGCATGAGATACTTTCAACCCCTCCTTTAAAAGGAGCATAAATCACCTGCTCCAGGTTTCGGTTAGTGAACACAAAGTTAGTCCATGTGACTCAACCATCGCCTGATTGGTGTTTTGAAAATGTCACAAAGTTATTACAGTTTTTAAAAAAGTGCTGTAGTCAACACCAAAAGTGCCAGTAAAGGGGAAAGTGATACAGAGGTCATGTAATGGACCCCAGGAAGATGACCCTGGGATCTATAAAGTTAACAGCTGCCAGGCCTCACCCCACAGGGTGATACTCTGGACACAGGAGACGGTTTGAGAGGAGTATTTAAAGAAAGGGGTTACACCAAAGTACACGTCAGATAATAAAAAGTCAAATATGCACACTGCAAAAGAGAGCCATGCTACATCTACTATATGTTGTTATTCTGTCATTTTAAAATCACTTTTGGCAATCAAAGTGTATTAATGGCATGATATTAAAGCTCCTTTGAGAAACACTTCCATGCAGTTAAGAGAAATTAGCACACCATGCACCACCAGCCAATCAATGAGTTTAACAGAGGTGGGTCCTCTGACAGAACGCTTCCCCTTCTACCTTTAAAAATATGATTCATGGTTTCCTCAGACTTGGATACTAATAATTGAGCAAACATTAATAGAGTTCGGTTAAATGTAGGGAGGAAGGAATTTGTATTGTTTAAAAGTGATTTCTAGAAATTTTCATGAGAATTTGTAGGCTTTTGGTTGTTCTATGATGAGAAAAAATATGGGCTGTAGACACATTTAAGCCAAGATATCCAAAAAATAGTAAGGCTCTCTTTATCCATACTGACATTGCCTGAATGAAATTGTCTAAATTAACACTGTTGTGTCATTTTTTAAGTATCACCTAGTATTATCCAATGATGCTAACAACAACAGAAGCTAATTTAGTTTAGTTTATTCACACACATCGTCACAATATAAGCTAAAGGCTTAACACCTTAATTGTATTCAGAGTCAGCTGAACTCCCAGCCATGGCATCCAACTTCCATGAAAGGCTTTACTTGCTGTACAAATGCTCCATTTTTGTGGAGAATCATTATGGAGGTCGAGAGCACTATGCAATGGTCAGGTCACGATGATTACCTGAGGGTACTCTCTGCTGGATCAGCTGCTGGCGAGCTACTCTAGGCCTTATGCACTGATGAACTGTTTATTTTACGTTTGAACAGCACAATCAAAGTTTGAAGAGAACTGTTTCCCCCAGAAAATACTTTCAAAAGGCAGAGCAGGACATAACTTTGGTCCAACTGGACCAATTACGCAGCTGCTTGAGTGGTAAAAAGCAAGAAATTCCCTTTTTATATCAAGTTAGCCTTCCTGTCAACTTACCCAAGACCGCCAAAACCCCAGGATGCAGGAGAAAACAGTGATGTTATTTAGAAAAAGTGTGTTGATATTTGCTGACTACATACATTCACTATAATTATGAGTGCTTACTTTAGCGGTTAGCAAATTTAATGAATTATTCACTGACAAACCATTAGCTGATCTCACAGTGTCCAAGTTTCAGGCCATTTTTGGACCCGTTTGTCTATCGACACACTCCCAATCAAATAAAAATCCATACATAACCCCAAATCAATTTCCCACATGTGCATCCGGAAGCTAAAATAAACCTTGGTTAATTATTATTATTGTGTTTATAATCCCATTTTTGCTAATCCATCATCAAACAGTCGTCATCTGAAACCAGGCTGTTAGGAGTGAGCCGACCAGAATTTAGGACTCCATTAGTGCATTTGAAAAACACACGAATGAAATGACTTCCCAGACAGGTCTCAGAGGAGTCTTATGTGCAGCCCACACAGCTCTATAAACCTGCACAAGGCTCTCTGCAAGTGCTACCAACAGCTTGCATTTCACAAGGGTGTCATTAGAGATGAAATGAAAAAGAGCCTCAGCGATACTTTTACATATTACGTAACGTATCATCGAATTATGATGCAGATTTTGATACTCTCGCCCCCTCAATATGTTCCACTCAGGTTAGACATTTCAGTCGTCTTCAAAAGTGACAGTTCTCCATGAGCAGGTATCAGTTTGAACCTGTCAAACCTTTCACTCCCTCCGTCTCAGTCTCACTTTCTGTTTGTAATACAAGTCTTAGGTTTGCCAGCGGTTTAATAGATATTTGCTGTGTGAGGCAGGACTGTAATGCTGTGGTGCATCCTTATAGAGAGGAGAAGAAGAAGTACTGTACAGTGAACCACAACACAAGGCACATATTAGGGGCATCCAGCGGTCAAAAGATTTGACTGTACATCATATATGTTTAAATAATGCTTAAGTCCACTTGAAAAAATTTTCTTGACTCATTTTGCTGCAGAGGACCTGACACTTGACCCAAACTTAAACCAAGCTTCTCTCATTCGTTCAGTTTTACCGTTCAACTAAATACCTGGTAATCTCTAAACCACTTTTGTTGTGTCTGTTGACCAGCATGGAAGGACAGTCTTCCTCTTAGCCTGTTTGTAAAAAGAAAGTGGATATTTACTGAGTAAGGTCACTGCTGTGTGATGAATGGAGACTCTGACCCACAGAGACACCTCTTTCTGTCAGACGCACTAATCTCCTGTCTTTAACACTCCAGCAGGGATTTACGGATGACTCCACTTCACCCTCTGCAATTTGGCTGAAATCATCCGAGAGCTGAAAACAGCCTGACAGCGTCTGTCCTGCTTTGACCTGCTGTGAAGCTTCAACTCCCCTTTATCATATTTTGGGCTCAGCGCTGAATTATGAGGCTTTAAACCTTGTCAAAATGAGGTTTCAGTACATCCTTTTTAACATAACAGTTTCTTTAAAGCTGCTGTGAGGAACTTTTGGTTGATGTCAGTTTTGATGCCACCTACAGAGGCTCTAAGCATTGAAAATTAAAATAAAAATAACAAAGAAAGGCCAATATTATATTATTGTGCTTACACCCTAAATAGCCTACAAATACACAACAAAGTGCATTTATGATTCAATTATCTAGTTTTTCACCCCCCTTTGTCAACTTTGTGCATCTTTTGAGCTCTCCTCTCATCAGCCAGAGCTCAGTAGTTTACACCACTAACATGTTTCCTGCTCAGGTGTCTTGGAAAGTGAGGTCAAACTTTAATCAGCCTTTTGTTCTGCTTGCAGCTTGTTCATATATCACTCTCTCGCAGCTGTACTGTGCAGTTTAGTGTTACAAACCCAAACCCAGATTTAAAATCTAACGTTCAAAATGGTATATCTGTTTGAGAGTGGAGGAGCTTCTTCTGAAGTATATGCCATGAGAGTACAAACAAAAAAACAGCTAGATATACCAAAATGTTGACTTAATACATGTGCAGAGCTTTGTATGCCCATGCACAGCTCAGTGTCAGTGCCCCAACCCTACAGTTATAGTGTACGCATTTAAGAAAATTTGTTCCACCTCCATTTGGGTGGAAATAATGTCAAA